TGTGTGTGTGTGTGTGTGTGTGTGTGTGTGTGTGTTGGTGGTGGCAGTGGTCCTTGTCGTTAATTCAATGTGTTTATCAAACACTGACTCTGTACTAGAAATAATTAGGTACTCCAGATTGAAAGATGAAGGCAACCAGGCCCCTGCCCGTAAGCAACTCACTGTCTGGTGGTCAGTAGTGCCCAACAATCCAGATAATTCTGTAGCACTTTTCCTACTTTCTGTTGGTGTTGTTTGCAAGCACTTTATCTCTTTTCCTCTTATAATAATCCTGTGAGGTAAGCAAAGGTTAGTATTCATTTCATATCCCCATTTTATAACTGAGGACACTGTGGCTGAGAGATCAAGCAGTTTCTGAAAGTCACCTGGTCAGCTAGGACAGTCTTGGAACACAGACTATCCTCACTTCTTTTTTTTTTTTTAATTTTTAATGTTTATTATTTTTGAGAGAGAGACAGAGAGACAGAGACAGAGTGTGAGTAGCGAATGGGAAGAGAGAAAGGGAGACATAGGAAGTGAAGCAGGCTCCAGGCTCTGAGTTATCAGCACAGAGCCCAACACAGGGCTTGAACTCACTATCTGGAGATCATGACCTGAGCCAAAATCGAATGCTTAACCAACTCAGCCATCCAGGAACTCCAGATTGCCCTCACTTCTGATTCACTGCCCTTTGCCCCACACTTGCTACTTCTAAAAAGATGTCATGTGTGAATAGGAGTGGGTAAGGAATGGGGAGGATAGAGATACTTTGGAAGGGAGAGATACAATGTTGGGGGTAGGCAAGGATGATGGGAGAAGGTGTTTTTCACAAGGTAAAGACAGGGAAAGACATTTGAATTGTTAGACAGGAAGGAAAAAGTGAAGAATAAAGCTATTTACGTTGTAAGCAAAGCCTCCCTCAATAAGTGAAGTTCAGAGCTAGGGCAGTGGGAACACTAGGGGCACAGGCTTAGTGGGCAGAGTACCTTCTGGGTGGCACTGAGTGCCTCAGTCCCCTTTAACTTGAGCCGATTTCCCTTATGGTGGAGGGTAGGCAGAGGATATAAGGAAATACTGTGACAGTCCCTGGAACATAACATACATGAAGCGATATCCGTATCATTTACAGTTTGTCCAGCTACTTGATAGGCTTCTCCTCCTCAACTAAACGCATCATCACCTCTGCTCCCCACCTATCATCAGAAACTTTCTGATATGGCCTTCTGAAATGTCTGCAAAGCCTTTAGTCAGACTGTTCCATCCCACTATCCTTTTTGGTTCTCTCCCAGTGCCTGAGGCAGGTCATCTTCACTTTTGCCCTCACTAAGGCAGTAGCCTCTCAACTGTTGGTCTCCTTCTCCAATCCAGCCTCATTATCATCACTCAGTGGGTTTTCAAAAGCACCAAACTGCTCATGCTCACACATCTCTTTAAAATCTTACCATGTTGCCCTACTGAATACAGGATACAAGATAAAGTCCAGTTCCCCTAGCATAGTACACAAAGTCCTTTAATGCCTGTCCTATGCAATTCTCTGTACAGATCACTTTCTGCCCGAATACTTTTGTGCATACTTGTCCCTCTGCCTGGGATGCTCTTTTCCCTTCTTCTCTGGAAAAAAAATCTTCCTTAACCTGCAAGATTCAACTCAAAGGTCATTTCCTCTGGGCAGCCTTCCCAGATCTGCATTGATCCTCCACCCTCTTGGGGAGTGAGTACTCATTCTTCTTCTGTGTTCTTAACACACATCTCACTTTTCTTATTACAAGATGATTGGCTTTTTATATGTCTGTCTCTTCAGAACTTTTCTTTGGTATACCCTGTTCTTAACACTGTGCCCGACACATAGCAGATAATAAATGTTGATAAATTGTTGAATGTGAGCTGATTCATGTGATTATGTACAAGCAAGCTCATGAGCTTTCTGGGTTTTAGCCACTCAGGATATTCTGAAAATTGGGCTTCCTATCTCTCACCTCTCTGCTAATGTTGCAGACCTTTAAAACTCAAAATGACTAAAGATTCTGGGAATCAAGTTGCCGCAGTAACTCAAAGCATGGGTACATTTTGGCTATTCATGTACCTATTCGATATTCTGTAATTACTGACTCTTACTATGGGGTGTTCATCTGAATAGCAGATAAATGGATTAATCGCAATGCCCAATTACGAACCATGGGGGGATAATGGACTTTTCTGAGCTGCTCCTTGCTTTACTGATTCTTAGTGAAAGCCTGATGCATTATTTATGGTGATGACTCCCTGACTGGGGTTTTAGCACCTCAGAGGAGAGCCCTAGGGGTGAGAAAAGAGTTTTAGCAAAGGAGTCATTTTGGAGACTGTTTTGTTTTGGTTTTTTTAAATGTTCTATTGACTTACTGACCCAGGGAGTGATAATAATTATGGGTTGGGAAAAATCCTGCAATGGGACAAGGGGGTTAGTGTTATATAAGCACAGAGCTGACTTCTGACATGGTGTATGTGGCTAAGGGATCCCTCTCCTTGGGAAGTTCCTTTCAGCTGAAGTGTGTGGTCCCATAGCACAAAAGTCAGGGAATTGAGGAGGAAGAGAAGAGGAAGCAGTATCCAGCCCCACTTCTTTGAGGATGGTCTGTATTCACATCTCCTTCCAAAGAGTGTGAAAGCTAACTTACCATGCCAGCTCTGGAACCAGACTGCTTGGCTTAAAATCCAGCTCTGAACTTAGTAGATGTGTTATGTTGAGCGTAACCTCTCCGGCCTCATCAAATTGTCGTGATAATTAAGTGAATTAATTCGTGCAAAGGGTTTAGAATGTGGTGAGCTCTGGATAGGTGTTTATGCTATTAGCCTGCTAGCTTGTAGGAGTCTTGCTGAAAAAGTGCAAACTGGATGAGCTCTCCCACTTGCTTGCTTCTCCAGCTGAAGTGATCCATAAACCATAATCCACATTGATTTTTCCTCCCTCAGCAAACACCAATTTCAATCCTTAAGCAAGCTCAGGAGCATTAAGAAGATACCCATATCCCACCCCCCACCCCTGCCCCGTGCTCCCCTCCCCCCAGGGAAATTCGGCTTTTCAGAGAGTCCTAAATTGGCTTTTGGCTGTCAACGAGGGTGAAACACAACACTCTTGTCTCCAATTCAGGAGTGGGTTTCATTTCCTCTTTGCTAACTGAAATGCAAAGTGATTATCACATACCAGTGTGGAACATGCAAACATCTGTAAAAACAGTACTTACACCTTGGAGTCTAGTGTGCCAGCAGGGGAAAAGTCGGCAGCATGACAACATGTGAACTGCCAAGGTAACTGGAAGCCGGATTGTGTTGTGTGAAATGCAGGCGTTATGTGCCATTGTGAACTGACTGGGAAAAAGCATGGAGA